CAGGTGGTGCCTTGGCAGGGCTGGTGGTTGCTGCTTAGGATAGCCGCGCGGCCCTTGCCATACCTGCAACCATGATGCCGATGTTGCTGTGGGCCTTTTGCAGCTTGACTCTCCCCATCATGCGGGAGAGGACATAGGTGGTGGGGCTTTGCGACAGAAACCTGCAAAAGACACCCTGGGAAGGCCAGTTCATGTCAGCATTGACATATTTTTTCAGTTTTTTTTTTCTAAGCCACCAATGCGTTTCCCAACCATTTGTCTCTGACGTGGCCATTAACGCACCGCGACTTCCAGCGACGGCCTACTGGAGCCAAATGACTGGCCGCGCCTGGCAAAAAAGAAAATGTGCAGCTTCATTTTTTCTTTTGTGCTCAGGGCGTTTCCGGTCCGGCAAGGGAAGGGTCATAGGGTACTGGTGGTTTAAAAAATTAAAACTGAGCTATATCCTCCTCTCAAATTGGCAGGAAAAAAAAAAAAAAAAAAAAAAAAAAAGGGGAAACTAGGGCGCAGTCATGGTGGTCGGTGTTGGGGTGAGTCGTGTCACCCTGTAACTCAGCAGGGTGGGGATGTGAGACCTGGAAGAGCTCAGCAGTGAGTTGTGTCAGTGTTGGAAAACTCAGATGGGTTGTTATGGATTCGTAGGTCTCTGAACATTTGTGGACCTCGGTGGTGGCTTCTTCATTTGTAGCAGACTGGTTTCTTGAAGCTTGTCAAAGTCATTTCTGAGTAGTCTAGAAGCTTTCATAGCTAATAGCCGAGTAATGGCTCCGGCATCTTAACACTTTCATCTACGTCTCACCATTACGACTTCGGTCATCATCATAAGGGATGCTGAGCCCGGTTCTCAGCAAGCTTGGCTACGTACCTAGGCTAACAGGAGTCTTTTAGGCTCCCTGTCTCATTTTCACAAAATTTTTTGATGAGGTTCTGATCGTATTCGTGATGGGGCGCTGGGCCCGGTTCCCAGCTTGTACCGATTTGAGAGGACATGGTTCTATCTATGGGACGCTGGACCCGGTTTCCAGCAGGTGTTGCTCCCCACCAATAGATGGAGCTTGTTTTGTAAAAAAAACAAAAAAAAAAGGGCGCAGTCATGGTTTCAGGGGCTCGTTCAACACTCCTCGGGTGCGTAAAGTCCCCGAGGAATTGTTCGTTCCACCTATCCTCGGGGATGCAGTCGGAAAAAAAAAAGTGAAAACACTCCGAAGGAAATTCCTTGGGCTCCGAGGATTCCCCAGCCATATCTTCCTTTTGCCTCACGAGGTCCCTTGGGCAAAAAGAATCCGCGTTTCACGGAGAGGAGCGGGCACATGGGTAGAGAGACGTTACAACCGAGAATCTGGATCCTGGCGGCACCCTATTGGATGAAGGCCTCAAACACATTTGATTGTTTTTTCCTTTTCTTCTTTCTTGTGTGACATCGTTCGAAGGAAATGTCCTCGGGCGACGTCCCCAAGGACAGGTGGAACGATGGCAGGAATTTCCTTGAAAAACCCCAAGGAAACTTCCTTCAGCCTCGAGGACGCCCCAAGGAGTGTCGAACGAGGCCCTCAGTTTGAAAATGCATTTATTGTCACCATTTAGCCAATGCTGCTCCAAAACGAAGGACCATCGTGAATGTATCCAACCTCGCTTTAGGGCCGGGTAGGGATGTGTTGTATTCGAAGGATGCCTGGAGTGGACTTAAAACTGAAAATGATCTTGACTGCACCCAAGTTACCAGGGGCCAAGTCCCACTAGCAGGGTTGAGCTACCTCAATGCCTGAATCTGGACGCTTTTGCGGAGATGTGCAGAAATGGTGTTGAGTTTCCTGAACTGCACGTCTCCACAAACACGTCCAGATTCAGGCATTGAGGTAGCTGAACGCTGCTAGTGGGACTTGGCCCCAGATCACATAGTGCCAGAATGGTATTACAAAATACAGTAATACTAAAATTTTAATGAGAAATAAAACAGAATGAACTGGGTTTCTAGCAGGTATAACCATAAGTTAAACGCCAGAAACTAATGCGATGGCCCTTAAAAATAGTCGAAAAACGAAAAAAAAGTCGTTGTAGGAAAATTATTCCAAAACTCTACTGCTCATTCTTTCCACTGGTTGGCATTTTGCTCCACCTGCCCCTCCTTTGAACCACCAGCACCCCAACCATATATAGCCCATTGGAAAAAAATAAAAATTTAAAGCAGAGTCGTTTCCACTTGAATGAATTTGGGCGCTCCTATCTATATGGCCGTGACTTTCGGAGATACTGGGGGTTTAATTAATTGCCTCCTTTCCAGTTCTCATGGGGTACATGTGACGCGCGACCTCACGCCCTGCGCTGTCTTCCGTTCGGAGTGTTTTAAATTGCGGAAGGGGGCCCCAGAAGGACAGCGAGATGGGGTGTGCCAAGGATTTTTGGAAAATTGAGTGTGGGGACACGAACAAAATTGAAATCCGCGGTGCCGGCCCGACTTAGTAAGAAGGGAGGGTCCGTCACTGTGCGGGTGTCAAGGGAGAAAAAGGCGCGCGCGGGATGCTCAGCGCAGGGAAGTTCAATCCAAAAAGTATCGTTGAACTTCCCATCGGGCCGTTTCTCTCCGATTCGCGTGAAAGGGAGCGGGGACGCACTTGGTGTCTCGCTTTCGGATCAAGTCCCGACGCAGCTCATTGCATAACTCAGAATCTGACGTGGAGGGTCTCAGCCACGTAGCTCGTTCCTTATGTTCGTCCTCACTCCGTACTCGGTAGTGGAAGCCTTTTGATTGGTAACGCTCGAAGCGGCAACAATCGCTGCACGGAGTGTTAGGCCAATGGGGTGCCACTGCCGTCCACAGAATGACGATCAACTCATTAAACGGCTATAGCAGTGAATAAGGCGGAAAATGTGTATCAACAATGACAAAGTCAGCACCAACAAACCCTGAGCACCGAGTTTCAGGAGGAAAATAGTATCTGTCGTCGATCTTGGCGACGGCTTCTCGTACGTCCCACTAGCATACACGTGTCCTTTTCTCATTGTACGGGAAGGGGCGTGGCGGGGATACGAGAGGCCGACGCCCAGTCGGGTTGAGGCCGTCAATCCACATGGCAATTCACTCAATCGCAAGGGTCGGTCTCAATCATTCATCGTTAATCCGACAATCGCGATGATCGAAAATACACAACCTATCGTTCAGTTTTTTTCGGTCGTCGCCTTTATTCACTTTAGACAGACGAAGCAAAGTGAGAACACTCCTTTATCTCCCCAAGGGTAGTTCAGAGAGAGAGAGAGAGAGCATTCGTAAAGATCTAATGGTTTTGCCAAGGAGTTTTCATACGGAAACCGTGGGGACAGTACTCACATCAAGTGATCCATGCATGCAGGCCGCACGCGGCACCCTTTTTCCTTCTGAGAGGATAGATCGCCTTTCGGGCAAGGGCAAGCTGCAAACGGCATGCACAGTGTATTTTGGATTGAAGATCCCGGGGTATTCTCCCGCAATCACATCATTAACAGATCTAAACACTCTTGCATTCTCGAACAAAATCCCAACATCATTGCCCTTGCCAATAACTCGACCATTCTTATGCATTCCATTCGCAACAACTCTTCGGCCTAATCAAGACCAGTCCATCAGCGACAGTCTCCTCATCCGAGTGTTTCTACCTTCATTTGTGGTTACTCATCGCGGAAGGCGTGAAAATGGCAGCCATGCATCATTCAGTTCTCCGTGTGCTCTGCACCCCTGCCCCGTTATCCCATGGCTAATCAAAATGTCGGCCCATCAGACAATCACTACATGACAAGCATACATGGCCATTCATATCCTAAGGTAGGTGGGGGGGAGGGGGGAAGAAGTGCAAAACGGATGGAAAAAAAAATGGATGAACATCATACAGAAATTCGAAGATGAAAAAGAATTTCCGGCTTAACTACCGTGGAGTTGTACCCACACCAAAGAATAGATTTAAGACAAGGAGGCGCATCCGCCGTAAAGTTTCATCGTGGCCCCGGGTCATTCATCCATCCAACTCTGATCACTAACCTCAGACATGCACGGACGATCCCGACCGTCACGTGCCACCTTCCACCATTGCGATTGTCACCCCGCCGACTTAGTTTCTGCGCGGGCTTGCCCCGATCCCACAGTCCATCGTGGCGATCAGGCGCACAGCCAGCCAGTCTATAGTCAGCCCGTCGAGACTTTTCGATTCGCACTGCACACCATCTAGCCACTGCTTCTCGGAAGCTAGCTGACGAGTTGAGAAAGAGTTTTGCGGACGCGCTTGCTGAATTTATAGTTGCGAGAAGGGAGATAGGTGAAGGGAAAAATGAAGAATGGGGCAGAAGAGGGCGAGGGAGGGCTTGAGGGTAATCGCTTGTC